AAAATTGGCAAATTATTTTAAGCTAGAAATTCATAAAAAATTTTCTTTTTAAATCTAAGATTTGAAAATTTTTAATAATCTATAATATATCCTTGACCTCCTCCGCTCACAATAGTTTTTCGTATACTATGATATAATATCATTGAATTCAAATTTAATTCCATCCATTACAGTAACCCACTTGTAACCTACTGTACAGCAGAGCGACATCCACAACTTATCTGCTTTTTTTAAATGATGAGTGTATTTCAAAATTATTTTTCGATTTGAGCCTAGGAATTTTAAACTTTTAAGACTTGTAAACCTTAGTTTTAAAGTCGTACTTATATAAGACTACAGATATTCTGTTAAATAATTTACARTATTAGTTTCTTTAAACACCTTTAAATTGCATTAATATTTTTAGAATTTAAGTTAACCATCTAGCTGTGAGTATAATATAACCAACATAATGGTATTAAAATGCCAACAGCTCATACATAATTATTTTTAAGTCGTTTATATTATATACATATATACATGAGGAGTTTGAGAGTAAAATATTTAATACCTACGCATAGTGCCTATATTAGTGTTTAATTAAATATAGGTATATTATAAACATTTTATGGAGATATTACCATATTAGTAATATGGTAAAGAAATAATTCTGTTATTTCCTGTATAAAAAAAAATGTACGGTGTTTATTAAATTTCTACCTTTACAGCACTTTATATAAATGTGTTTTAATAAAATGTTTAATAAACTAAATCAACTAGAATTTTTCCATTTTTTACGATCTCGACATAGTGTTAAGTAATATAATAGTACTTAGAGTATAAAATATTAAGAATAAAATTACTTAGGACATATGTCTTAAAAGCAGACTTTCRAAGTTAATTGCGATGAAAGTTTACTAGTTTACTCAGGATTTATTAGTTATTTTACAACTTACAAAGTTATGTTTAATAAACTTAAAGCTTTCAAAAATGGTGTTTACCAAAAAATATTATATAMATTTATTTTACACTACTACACTAGTATGAATGATTATAGCATAGTATATTTTGTAGTATTTTGATGTTTTATTTAAAACCTGTAAATAGTTTGAAATATCGGAAACTTTACGGATATCTCTATKTAAATCTAATTTAATATTCAAATTTCGAGTATAAGATAAATAGATTTGTTTATTCAAAACAATTTCAGAATAAGGTAAATATTATTGTAACTTCGCCGTGCAAGTCGATATAAGACGTATCATTACACACGTAATATCTAATTTTGTATAAGTATTCTGAAAATTTAATTAACTGAGTTCATTAATATTTATTTTAAAATTATAATTACAGTCCATTTACTGTGATTTCGGATTGAAAAACAAACCCGACAAATGAAACCGTTTTAATTAATAATAATATTATTRYATAGCTATATACCAACAATTGTTTGTCGGTGGTGGGTAGTTTGTAAGGGCTTTAAATAATAGTATTGTGAAACTGTTCAGCCACAGTAAGTAGAAAACGGTTGAACAGATTGACGATAAATATTTTTACTAAAAACGTACAGTGACAAAAATATCTTACATATTTTTTTTTTTTAATCGCCACTAGTATGCTGTTTATTGATGAGATGAATGGTGATGATATTTATAAGGTGAGAGGGGAAATGTAGTTAAAATACATTTTAAAACTACATTATCGTTAGAAGATTAGGATCAGTGTTAATCTCAAATGACGTCTAATTCGTTACTTAACAACTTACTATTATGACTTTATGCAAATATGTTTCTTTGCATTGGTACGATYGTAATTTATTTTTAATGTAAGTCAATATAACAGAATAGGGTAGGTATATTTTATTGTATTATATTATTTTTGATATTTTTTAACCTCAAAATTGTGACAGTTAATTTAGAACTGTATTTATGACTCGGAAAGAGGCTGTTGGATTATATCTTAAGATGGTTTGGCGCGCTTTAAAGGATGTTCGTTATTATAGTGACGCAGATCACGAAGGCACGTGTTTAAAAAGTGAAAAGATGGATTAAAAAATATAAAATCAAAAAGAGCGACGACGGTGATTATCGCAGTATATGACAATGATGATGATAATAACGACAATAAAACGTCAAGGAAAGTGGAAGAGCGTGATGCGCGTGGTTACTCGACTACCCATTCAAATCACTACGCTGTCCCGTGAGTATTATAATAGTTTAAACTACAATATCAATTCAAGGGAATCGCAGTAACTTGATTTCAGAATAAGAGGATGTTAAATTGATCTTACTATACTGTAATATTTGTAGTACTCTACTAGTAACCACTAACCTACAGGGACTGAAACATAAATGTTTACATAGGTATTTATAGAATTTAGAACTAGTATTAACAGGAGCTGAATTCAAATATTTCTGTGTAACCAGAAGCAAAGTCGGTACATATATTATTATTTTTAATTAAAAAACATAAGGTTTACCGT